CCCTCACCTTGGGGTACCTCTTGGGACCGGAGAGACTGAAGGAAGACTTCCTTGGACAGGTGACGAAATTGTTGCGTGCACTCCTACTTGTCTGTAGACCTAGCGCCCGTTTATTTGTTAACGCGACGCAGGCTGCTAGCATGTGCCTGCAACCCGAACAGGTTATCGTATTCCAGGACTAGAGCCCACATTATATGCCTCCGGTAGCGCGGGCGAGCGGTGGCAAGTTGAAGGACTTCCCATGGCATTTATTTTGTGGGCTCTGGTTTCGTCTTTCCCCGCGTCCTCTTGATGACACCTTTCTTTTGTCTTTNTCTTTCCCCTCGTCCTCTTGATGACACCCTTCTTTTGTCTTCCCCCTCATCCTCTTGATGACCCTCAATTGCACATCAGGTTGTCACTCCCGCATTGCTGCACGCAGCTAACGACATCGCGGCCCTTCCGGTCAACGAGATCGGCACCCACGAGACAATTGTCTGCAAGGTCACCCGGAAGTCGAGAGCCTGGATCAAGCTATCTGCCGGCGGCTTTGGTTCCGCCAACGCCCGGGCCTTCCAAGAGAGGTAAGCGATGATCCCAATGACCTGCATTCCCGGAGTTACAGCAGTATTAGGGTACGTTAGCGTCTCCCACAGAAAAGATAGATTACAGTTAACGNCCCACGAGACAATTGTCTGCAAGGTCACCCGGAAGTCGAGAGCCTGGATCAAGCTATCTGCCGGCGGCTTTGGTTCCGCCAACGCCCGGGCCTTCCAAGAGAGGTAAGCGATGATCCCAATGACCTGCATTCCCGGAGTTACAGTAGTATTAGGGTACGTTAGCGTCTCCCACAGAAAATATAGATTAGAGTTAACCTCCGTTATGGTTGCGACAATAATATTTTCTATCCGTACCATACGTGTTTTGGATGTCATGATGGCTGTTGATGACCATGTGTAGCACACATGTGGAGCGACAAACAACTGATGCGAATCGGTGCGCACCCCCCCTCTTCCTCACGACGGCCCGGCCCAGCCTATGGTACAACTTGTTCCAGTTCATGACTGGACCGCGACGTTGCACGGCGGCGATCCTTACCATCCCCAGCTCCGACTTCCACAAGCCGGAGATCATGCGCTTCCTCGCCCCCTACTACGTCGAGAAGGACAGCCTCGTTGTGCCGGAGACCCCGGCGGCAGACGTTTACGTCCAGGATGATGATCTTGAAGCATACCTCAACGACATGTTTTAATGTTTTGCGTGCGAGGGGCGGGGCCATGGCCGGCCGTGTTGATGGTATATGGCAGGTGCCCATGGAGAGTGCATCTATCTTGAGNACATGTTTTAATGTTTTGCGTGCGAGGGGCGGGGTCATGGCCGTGTTGATGGTGTATGGCAGGTGCCCATGGAGAGTGCATCTTGAGTAGCATCGGTGCATCCATCTTGTCATGAAACCTCCACTATTTGCGGGAGGTGTTGGCGTGGGCCGGCTGTGAGCTACGAATCCGTGTTTTATAAACCTTACCACTGGTACACGTTAAACGAGAAGTTGACAAGTCATGTTTTTGTGGCCGGGGGATTGGATGGATAATCAAATTAGCGTGATGGGAGTGGTGCACGTGCGTAGCTGTCGTCGCTGCATCGAGATTGGTATGGCTCGAGCCTCGCGTCTTGACATTTCCGTATCTATCTCATGCATTGTCCATCGAAGGAAAAGTCTTCGGGGCAGTTTTTCCGATGTTGTTGTAGTTTCTCACAAAGTACCTCATTTTTTTTTGGTTTTCAGTTTATTCCATGTCAAGCGAATATTCATCGTGGCAGTGTTTATTGGGTGCAAGTTACAGAGACCTTCGATTTGTTTTTGTTTTAATTTATTCCATCAAGAGAAAATTCATCGCGGTGGTAAGTAACAGAAGAGTCCTTCAACTTCTTTTGTTAAATTTATTCCATCGAGAGAAAATTCATCGTGGCAGTTTTTCTTGGGTGGTAAGTTACTTAAAGAGTCCTTCAATTTCTTTTGATTTTAATTTTTTTCCATCGAGAGAATTTCATCGCGTTGGTTTTTAATTGTTTCATCGAAAGAATAATTCTTCGTCGCAGATTTATAGATTTTTATGTTTTACGATGGAATCAGATAATTTGGGGGAGAAGGTTTGGCATTCATTGCCAGCTGGCTATGCTGGGCACATGGAGCGTGTTCGTTCGTGTTATGTCGAAGAAG